AAATTGATACATCACAAAAAATTGATTCATCAATTGGCGCCATCTGTGGAAAACGCTACAAAAAGCTAAGTTCTCATCCTCCGAAAGGCTAAGTCCTCTTCTTCCAGAAAGCTAAGTTCTCACCTTTTAGAAACTAAAAGCTCTCACTTTCTAGTTTCCATTTTTTAAGAACTCAAAGACTATGCAGGAACTCAAAGTCTTATATTTTCTAATATAGACTAATCAATAATTTYCTTTTACCAAAATTATACTAATTTATCTTAATAATTTGTGTATTTATTGGTTCAAATTATACTTTTCCCTTCCCATACTCATTTATCTTTAATAATTTACAATGAAAATTACATAATTTTTAATAGTTTTCCAAAATCAATCAAATGTAATAAATTTTCCAAAAGTAGTGGAAAATAGAGATGAATCACTTACACCTAAGGTTTTTAAAACTGACCTAGACAACGAATCGGTCAGGGGTCCGGTTCCCAGGTCGAACGGTCCAACCATTCTGACAAAAAAAAATAAAAATAGTCAAAACCATTGAATGGTTTGAACGGCTCAACAACCTAGGTCCACGATTTGCTAACCAAATCAACATTTTTTTGTGCAAAAATCCAATTTTGGGGAAAAGTGGAACCGGCCACCTGACCGGTTCCGGTTCGGTCCAGTTTTGAAAACCATGCTTCAACAGTGTCCACAATGAAATAGAGAAGTAGCAGACATGGGCTTCATAGTGATGAGCCCTAAATGCAACGGTAATATGTTGAGAATAGTGCGAAGCATCGAAAGACACACTATAGAGTAGTGTGAAAAGCATAGAAACAAATTGGAAATAAATATCCACGGTAGCAATGGACTATCCATGAGAAATAACCGTGGACGCTATTTTGCGTTGTGGTGTAGATCAATCCATGATATAATATGGTTTGATCTACACCACGGTGCAACCGAACTAATAATTTTGGGGTGGCATATTTGAAAATACAATATATCGTGGTGCTTCCACACCACCGAACACCACCTTCATGGCTTTTGATGGAGGGTGATTTGGCCCGAAGGGGACACGTGGACGCGACCTGATTAAGGGATGATAGCTCAGCACTAGCAAGCCTAGTTCGCAACATTTGAGCTCAGGTATTCAGCCACCTCGGCCTAAAACTCACCTCGACATCCAATCCAGTTCGGAACTAAAGAACCGAAGTATCAACTCGGGGCTAACAACCCGAATCGCCACGTAACCAACTCCCACGTAACCGACTCCAGAGGTCTCTCCAGCAAATCCCGACTTTTTCGAGATCACGATGAGAACTCGTGCCAGCTCTGCTAGAGTCGGAAGTGGAACAATAAGCTTTATCTACTTACTACCCCTTCGGAAGCGGAACGAACTCTATCTCCACACCCCGGAGATCCCGGAGCTCTTTCATGAGTCCCTCAGCTACTCCAGTATATAAAGACGGGAACCTTAAGGCAAAGGTAAGCGTGATTACTCTACTCTCTATCATTCAAGCTCTCAAGCTCTTAAGCACTTAGTTCGCATTTACAGCATACTAACTTAAGCATCGCARCGACCTCGCCGGATTAACCACTCCGGGTTCTCTGATAGATCGTATTGTAAATAGATCCAACTCGCTGCCCAATTGGAAGCCAAATCACCCTCCAGCTAGGAGTAGTCGGATCACACAATAACAATTTTATAATACAAATATTATATATTATTTATACAATTATATATTATATATTTATATTTTATAATATATTATTATACTATATATAATATATTATTTATATTATATCATCAAGTTTTTTTATTATAATTCAATTCAAACGGATTCTTATTAGATCYAGATCCATATCACTCAAATTTCTTATCAAATAGTATCTGATGATATACCTATTACCGAACCAACCCGATCCACGGGCCTCAAGAAAAATAAAGAACTGGAAGTATTCGCATCTAACGTTAGGGAGAGATTTTTGTTAGGGTCAGCATACAAGAGAGGTGTATAGAATTGTCAAAAAGTGTAAGGAAGTTTGGATAATTTTCCCACAAATTATTCCATTAAACTCGCACGAGGTAGTGTGGGACCTCGATCCCTCGTACGGGGTCATGACACTTATGTTTTATTATTGGATTTGAGATAATCCTTCTTTCAGTTATTAATATTTTAAAAGCCAATCAAAATTGATTCGTAAAGACAATTCAACCATTCAAGTCAAATTAGAAAATATAAAATTTGAAAAAAGATTACAGAGGTCCGTATATGTTGATCATATTAAAAATGTTTGGTAAGTGGAAATTATTGTGATCAATGAAAATGATTTAATTTTRAAAAGAAAAAGGAAAGAAAAAAGAAGGGTAAAATATAAAAATCTCCCTGAGGTTTCTGACAATCATAAAAACCTTCTCTCAAATTTTACTTTAATAAAAACCTTCTCTGAACTTGTGGAAAATTCAGCACAAACCTCCATTCTATCACAGACCCAAGGGAAAATATTCCACTGATCCACTATCTTTTCAAGATACCCATTTTATCCTTTTGTTTTACATAGAATTTGACAAAATTAATCCTAAAAGAAACTTTACTTTCTCCTCTTTCAATCTTCCACCCCTGAAACTCCATTGACTCAAAGACTAGATGAAACATTCAGCCACTGTAAACTCCATTGTAACAGAAAGTGTGCTCAAGGATGAGGATAGTATTTGGAGTCTAGTCTGTCAAGCCATCTGTCCCATTCTGCCACATTGGGCCATGGATGACTCCAGGGAAGGAAATGCTCTTGTCTTCTTTTCCTGCATCTACATCGTTCATGCTAACAATCATAAGAAAATAAGGTTCAAATGAAAAAGTTAACTTAGGGCTTCTTTACAGAAGAGAAAGCACAGTATCTTTAGGTCTATCAAATCGACGATCTTCAAGAAGAGAGAAAACATTAAAGGGGTGTTCTTTTTTCTCGATTTTAAAAGGGGAAAGTTGGTCAATGGGATTTTGATTCCCGTTGACTAAGAATTTCATTTCTTTTTTCAGATTTATGTGGGGATAAGGGAAAGTTTACTTTTCTGGGTATCACTTACCCGGGCAAGTGATACCCATCTCCTAAGTGAATAAATAACTTTCCCACCTAGGGGGGGGGGAAATTGCCAACACTTGAATGGGACAAAAATACCCCTTTTAACAATGGATTTTAATAGCTAAAATGGTCATTGCCTTATTTACATGGGAAATAAAAAAACTTGGGTAAATGCACTTACCTGGGTAAGTCTTTCTTGAGAAACACTTACCTGGGTAAGTACATTTACCTAGTAAGTAATTTATGAAAAACGAACGGAGCCTAACTTTCTGTTTATCTTGATTTCTGGATTCTATTCTTCTTTGGTGATATTCACTTAAATTTGATGTTTACAGACAATATCAAGCTCATATTTGAGGACTCAATGCATTCGATTGTCACAAGAAATTTTGAAAAGACTACGGTTAGATAACCTTCCACCCTTTAGTTTTATCTTGATTGTATCTGCTTCTATCGAATCCGTTGCCAATCATCTATCTAGAAACATATTTCCTTCATGCGCAATGATCAAGTGGAAGGGTGTGATTTATTAGATAGACCAAAGAATGTAAACTGCAATGTAGTATGAAGAATATTAGGCAAAATTTTATACTAGTTCATATGTGATTCCATCCATCCACCGCGAGAATTGAAGACATCGGTAGATGATCCATGAATGTAGCAACTATGACATCAGAAGTTTGGAGGAGGTCTGGAGCCAAAAATTTTGTGAGACAAGGTTCAAGGAGTTTACGGTGGAGTTAAAGTAGATCTCTTCTTTGACACATGGAGTTTACGTTGGTTGAATGCTTATTCTCTTTTTGACCCAATAGAGTTGAGTTTTAGGGGTGAGAGATGCATTCAGATCTACTACCCACTACTTGTTCCCACATCTATGCCTCCAGATCTGATTTTGTGTATTCAGAACATCTCCCTATGAATGAAAAGGGAGATATTCCCAATGCATAGCTATTCTGTCTTGTGGTAGGCATCTAGCAATAAATAGTGGGTAGCATATCCAAGCTCGAGGGAGATTGAAGGAGAAAGGAATTCACATCTGACCCCATAGAAAGTGCCTCAAAAACATCCAATAGCACATCCCAAATGTGTGTTGGGAACATCTCCTTGTGATAATGTAAGGCATTTTTGGGGCGGGTTCTGTGGGGGGCAGATGTGAACTCAGGAGAAAGAGGACTGTTAAGAGTTATTTAAGAAGGGGAAAATGGGTATTTTTAGAAAATAATGCATCGGTGGAACATTTTCCATCTGGGTCAGTGATGGAAGTAAGGTTTTCCAAAAGTTAAGGGGAGGTTTTTCTTAAAGTGAAACTTGAGAGAAGGTTTTTATTATATTTTACCCAAAGAATTATAATAATATCTCACCTATGTGTGTTTAAAAAACCAGACTGGATCGGCCAGTCGAATTGGTTAAACCGTGGCCCGAGGCCCTGACTAGTTCAGTCGTACCCCAATAACCAGACGTGCTAAAAAGCTGGTGAAAACTGACTAATTGGTCGATATAACCCAAAAAAACCGAAATCGGTCCCAATTTCATGAAACCACTGAAATCCATTACATAAATGAAATTTTAAAATGTTATTAATAAGATTTTAATCCAAGGCCTCTTATTTTAATAGATTACTTAATTATAATTAATCCACCTCTTTACTTATATTAATTAGTGATCATTTATTATAAATATTACATTATTATGTATTATTTTAGAAAAAATATAAATAATTTATATTTTTTAAAATATATTAAAAATATTTACAAATAATAATTTATMTTTTTAAAATATAAATATAATTTATATTTTAAAAAATATTACATTATCATCCATCCATTATATTTATATTAAAAATTATAAAATATATTATATATAATATTTATATGACGCATACATATATCACGTCGTCAAGATTCAATCCCGATCGAAACTTTGACCCGTGAACAATAAGTAGTGGAGAGTCTGAATACAACCGAGTCAGTAGTGTGCGAAGAAAGAGTCTGAAACAACCATGACAATTGAATGGAGCGATTGGGACACAGCTGGATCAGACGACAAGCCCAGCGGACGATCAACCAGCGGTGGCGTCGACGCCAGAGAGCGTCACAAGCTTGCCGAACGTGAACGCCGGAAGTCCATGCGAGAGCTGTTTCTTTCTCTCCATGCTCTCCTTCCTCACGCCAACACAGTTCGAAAAGAACAGTCAGCAATCCTCGACGAGATCATCAAGTACATCCCCTTAGCCGCGGCTCGCCTTCGATCCCTTCAGAACCGAATGGATTCGTCATCGTCGTCGGCTGCTCCCATGTCGTCACCAGATGTGCAGGTCTCCGACCGTAGCTCGGCCGCGTCCAATTCAACTGACTGCGACATCCGCGTTGCACCTGAGCCTTCTTCGTCCGTATCGATTCGCATCCGAGGTGACCGTGTTAATGTGTCTCTGTCTGACAGCAAGACCACCTCGCAGGCTCTCTCACTCTCTGCTGTCTTGGATGAGCTCGAAGTTCATCATCTCGAGCTTATCCGCTCTACTTACTGCTGTGATGGAAGTAAAACAATTAATTACTCTGAAAGCAAGGTTTGTATTGCTTTTATCGGTGCCTCTTCGGATGTTTTGATTGAATCCTTTTATCACCCATGAATCTTTTTCTAGTTTTTTGAACTGGGTTCCTTTCCTTTTCTTATTTTGATTACAGGTTTGTGATGGGTTGGACAGATCTCCAACTTTGTTAAAGGCAAGACTGCAAGAACTAGCTTGTAAACTGCAAAAGTTGAGAAAATCGTCCCCGCGTAAGAGATCCTTTGATCAGCTCGACTGATTAATTTGATCGATCGGTTTATGGAATAACATGTCACCCGGTGGTTAATTCCTATGTCGTCTATGCTGCTGGCTGCTGCTGCATAGACGAGTGTGATCTCACCAAGTTCTTTTTTTTTTTTTGTGGTAAAAAAAAAAAATATGAGAATAATTCTGTCCCCAGTCTACCTTGTCAGATGTTGAAGAGGCGTTTAGATTATGTATTGTAATTGAAAATGGAACAATTGCGACAAGTCATTCTCCATTTTGTCTTCTCATTAGGTTGGATGAGTCTGAGTTCTACTCCATGGAATTAAATAGTACATAATTGACAAAACAAAGAAGAGGAATAGCTATTAATTAATTCACCAACAAAAATTATTTGTCTACATGACATTTTTTTTTTTTTTAAGTATGGTCTATGTGATTATCCAACCATTGATTGGACAGAGTTGCAGTTTCATTCGCTGTTTGGGTAAACTAGTATTAATTCAATCTGTGACATGTATTTTATTACATATTCCCTTTTTACAGACTGAATACAGTTGCACTACAAATGCAGCAGATTCAATTTGCTGCAACCTAGACTGCCGGGATAAAGCGGGCCAATCAAAATTGACCATGTTGTATCTCGAGTTCGGCAGAAATTCTCTCAAACATGGCTTGATTTGCATGCTGCCACAAGTAAAACTTAACTTGTCAGCATTAGCATCTTTATTAACAGAATGGGATGATTAAAAATGATCCAATATAAGCTTCAATTCCTTTTATTTCCTTACCGAATAATTCATCAATTGAGATTGCAGGCAATCAAATCATGTAATACAGAATACGTGAGACTACCTAATTTCTCCCTTTTGTCCATTGGGTAGGGTGATAATTAAGGGTCCCTTTGACACGTCTTTCTAGAAAAATCGTTTAATAAACAGAATAAAACTCGAAAGACGCAAAAAAGTTCATTTAAAGTTTCCTAAAATCAGCCCAAAATAAACTTTTATGTCTTTTCAGCGCTTCAGAGCCCTAAACTTTTAATAAAAGGAATAATTTGAGATCAATTTCACTCAGAATACCGAACGCTATCGTACAGCTTAGGTCAGTGTTAGGGGGCAGAAGATTGCCAACGGGGGGTGGTGTTTATAGGAGGGTGGGCATAAATACATTTGGGGAATCAATAAACCAACTCTGAGGGGGACTACTGAACTTGAAAAAGACGCAGCCAAGTGTACGAGAACAATCAAACCATTACTTTAAAACTTTTTTAAGTGCCTGTTTGATGAGAGCATTTTCATGATCAGTTTTTGGCTGATAAACCTGGAAAATTGTGAAGCCGTTGTTTGATAAAAAATCCCAAAGTTGAAAATAAGCTTACATTAATCGAAAAATCGACTTTCCAGTGAAAATAAGCTATTTAAGTAATTTCTTTAAAGTGATTCAATCGACACAGCTCAATCAATGCAGAAACCCTGCCAAACAGGCCCTTATTGTTATTAATAAATGATTGCTCCTTAACATACTTAGAATCAAAGATAGGTAATATCTGAATTCACCAAGAAATTCAGCCCAATTCCTATTTCTCTCAACGACCCACCTCATGACCAGAGAGTAGACCTAGCAAAAAGTTGGCCCAACCCGTAAACCCGACCCAACCCAACCCGAAAAAATAGGGTTAGGGTCTCATATTTAGCAACCCGAATGTGATAATGACCCGACCCGAAAAAAATGGGTTGAGTTGGGTTGGGTCATAGGTCAACCCGTTGACCCGATTGTCTAGTCTAATTGAGATTATTTATGCATTGTTAGAAGTTTCCACTCTTTATTTTTTATTATTTAGTCTTTACTTTTTATTGTTTACCCTTTAAATTGTTAAATGTTCAAATTTTTATTTTATATTTGGAATTTTAAGGTTAATTCTTTTAATTTTAACATTTTTCATGCAATTTTTATTTATTTTTTTAAATTTCAATTATTTTTTGGGATGACCCGAATTGATCCATGGGCCAATCCTAATCCGAACATTTAGGGTTAGGGTCTAGCATTTGACAACCCAACCTGAAATTCAACCCGAACCAAAATCAACCCAAAATACCTTGACCCAACCCAAACCCGATCCACCCAACCCGGTTGCCAGATCTACTAGAGAGTGACTCATGAAGGACGTGCTTCCTACAACGAAAAATCAAAAGCAAATGGGTTTAATAGGGATTACAACTTTCCAAGCCCACGTGCTCATGTGTGATGCCCATTTCGATTTGAAGTTTCACCGCATAGTGCCATATTGATTCCAATTGTTTTGGCATGCGTCCACAACCACGAATGGATGGATATAGTCCCTGAAGTCTACTCCGGTAGTAAGCGTGCAGTGCTGGTATTTTGTCATATTTCAGTGTTTGTGAGTATAGGAAGAAACGTGACGATAGACTTTGACTCCAAATATATAGAACCCTTTTCTTGTCTACTAGTTGAAAATTATTCAAATGATACTTGCAGCCAAACCTGACTTTCCAAGCAAATCCAGGTTTATAGTAGGGGTGCTCAACAAAAAACTGAAAAACCGAAATACTGAATCAAATCGAGAAAATCAAACCGAAAAATCCAGTTAATTTAATCAATCCATTTGATTTTGGTTCAGTGTTTTGCAAAAAACCGGTGGTATCGGTTTGGTTTTAGTTTAATCTGAAAGAAAAATCAATTGTTAACTAAATCAACTGGTATATTATATATATTACATATTTTTACTAGTGGAAACCCATGCGATGCACGGGAAAATATGAAAGATTGAATAATTTTATTTACTATTAATTAATTGATAAATTAATAATCAAAGTTTGCTGTTAATTAACCAAAAGTATTCAAAGTTATTGCTAATACTTAAATTTTTCATAATTGTATTTTTCATTTAGTATTGATTTATAGAAAATAATTATTGTTAATTTAATATGAACAAATATTTTTTAATAAATTTAATTTCATTAATCATTTATAGTAAATTTAATAATTGTTATTATTTTCTTTATTTTTAAATGAAATTTTGATTGAATTTAAACAAATAAAAATAATTATAAAAGCTAATATTTTTATGTATTTACTAATAATTAACAATTATATATGAATGGCAATAGAGTGGGGCACCCCATTCCTATCCCATCTTGTAGTCAAGACACTCTACCCCATCCCCACCCCTTACCTAGTGTAAAGCGGGTTCAAGGCAAGGCACCCACTCCCTGTTAAGGACGGGGAATCCTTAAATCCCCCCCCCCCCTCTTCGTCCTCAATGTCAGGTAAGTTTAGGGCAAGACACCCACTCCTCATCAAGGATGGGGAATCCTAGCATTTTACCCGCCCCGTCCCTAGTGTCGAGTAAGTTCAAGGCAATGCACCCACTCCCCATCAACCCAATATTCAATTTGATGACAAAAATAACCAAAAGGATATACTGAGTATCAACCACATGGTAAATTTTAAAAGTACACAAATTGTCTTTAATTTTCAAAAATGTAATTTTATGAAAATTTTGGAAAATTTATTACATTTGTGTAACTTTGAAAATTTATTCAAATTTATTTTTAAATTTTTATTGAATAATTTATTTTCTTTTTAAATGGTTTACTTACAAAATTATACTAATTTATCTTATATTTTCTAATATAGACTAATCAATAATTTCCTTTTACCAATATTATACTAATTTATCTTAATAATTTGTGTATTTATTGGTTGAAATTATAGTTTTCCCTTTCCCATACTCATTTATCTTTAATAATTTTCAATAATTTACAATGGAAATTACATAATTTTTAATAGTTTTCCAAAATCTATCAAATGTAATAAATTTTTCAAAAATTTCCAAAATATTCCAATAATTTKCAATAATTATTTAATACATTTTAAATAAACTTACAAAAATTTTATATATTTTAATTTCCAGAATGTTATTTTAAAAAATGTAGTTTTATGAAAAGTTTTGAAAATTTTATTACACTTCTGTAATTATGGAGATTTATTGAAAATTATTTTAAATTGTTATTAAATATTCATTTTTATTATGTARTTTACTAACAAAATTACACTAATTTATATTTTATTTTCCAATATGATTTAATTAATAATATTTTAGGAATTGATGGGGGAGTGGGGTAATATGTTCAATGGGAGTGGTGGAAAGGGAAGAGGAGTGAGCGTCAAGGAGAATGTAGGGTGGGGGTAATGGAGCAAGGAGGGACATGATGGTGTGGACCGTCTTGCTTTATATATATAGAAAGATATATAGATAATATTTATATTATATATATTATAATATATATTGAAAATTTAAAAATTTGAGAAATCAAAGAATTAACTCGATCAAAAACCGAATCAATCAACTGATTAATCAATTGGTTTAGGTTTGATTTCAGCTCCCAATTAATCAAGTGGTACTGATTCAATTTCAGAAAATAGCTCATGGTTCGATTAATAGAACCGTGAGCACCCCTTATGGGCTCTAGACCTTGGCTACTACCGTACTACATTTGTTTTTACCCAATGGATTTGAATCTGACAATAAAGTTTACCAGGAGAGTGCAGAAGATCTAGATCATAACCTCTTGATCTAGACTGATCATTATTGATGTAGCGCKATCTAACTACTCCCTACTGGAGGATGATCTGGTTTCCAACCGAGTAGCGAGCTAGGTGAATCTACAAAACAACAGATCAGAGAACCTGAGGTARCTAACCCGACGAGATCGCTCCGATGCTTAAGTTAGTGTATTGTGCTACGAACTGAAAACTTTGAGAGCTTGAGAGCTAGAGAGTAGAAAAATCACGCGTATCTTGTGTCATTGCGGTTGGTGCCTTTATATAGGCATTGTTTGGTGTGGGTCTCACGCACCGCATCCGAGATTTCCTGGAGATCGTGCCTAATTGGTCCGAGATCCTCAAAGGTAACTGCCATACACGTTGACCATCCTCCGAAACGTTCGGAATGTGGGCCAACTTCCAAGAATCGTGGGAGTGTCAGGATATGCATGCTGAATTTGTCAGCGAGCACATCTCGCAAGTCGCCACTTGGACATCAATCAAGCTGGCACGYCCTTGAGGGAGGTYGCTCCTTGCGTCAAAGTTACTTCAGCTAGTGACAAGGTGTTGCAGATGGATCCTGGGCGAAGTGCTTCTAGCCGACCTGAGTTGTGGTCGAGGTCGCTGGATTGGCATAAAGGCAGGTTGCTAGGTCGGCGTTAGAAGTAGGTCGCCAAGTCAGCAACAATGCCAGGTCGCTAGCTGAGA